GAAGGAAGGAAGGAAGGAAGGAAGGAAGGAAGGAAGGAAGGAAGGATGGGAAGGGAAGGGAAGGGAAGGGAAGGGAAGGGAGGAAGGAAATTGAGATGATATAGGAGGGACGGAGACCCCCAGCCCTGAGAGATGGGGCCGAAGTGGGAGGGGAGGTGGACTCTACCTATTCATGCTACAGGTTGCATTTTCCTCCTGGTGGGAGGAAACTCCGGAGCAGCTCCAAAACTCCAGCCTGCTCACTCAAGAACTCTGGGAGTTGAAGTCCACAAGTCTTAAGACTTGCTATACAAGATCTCAGAAACCTTTCCCAAACCCTATAAAACCCTTAGAAATGGACTTTACCAATCCCCGTCATCTTTTTTTTTTGCATGGTCTCTGCATTTATCCACTTTCTCTTCTCTCGGCCTGGTCTACCTCGCAGGACTGTTGTGAGGACATTTTTTTTAAAAAAAAAAAATATGCTTGCAGCTTTACGATGCATTACAGTGTATTAAAAGCAGACCATGCCTTTAAGAGCTGCTGAGGAGGCAAACTTGTAGCCCACCCTCCCCTGCCTTAGATGGGGATGATGGGAACTGGAGTCCAACGCACCTCGAAGTTTTCCCAAGAGCAGCAAGCATGAAGCAGGTTGGGCTTTCTTTGCCCCTCCTTTTCTTCTCTGGATTTGGAAGCCCCCTCCCCAAATCAACCCCCGGATTCTCTTTCTATTATTATTCCAGCTCCTTCAATCCAGGGGGATGGCCCTGGGGCCCCTTATATTCTTTTACGTGATTTTAACCTTCAGGGTCTGTGAAATAAAAGCTACATTTTGGCCCGAGGGGACCGAAATAAAACCAGATCTGATCTACCCAGGAAGGGAGAAAATTGTTTTAAAAGCAGCTTTAGCGAAAGAAACGTATCTGCCAACCCAGCTAAGTGGCTGGCCTCTGGGTGCAAAATTTGCTATTTGCATTTTTCCATCTCTCTCTCTCTCTCTCTCTCTGTTCCTCCCCCACCTCCATTTGGCGGCTTCAGCGTGCCAATCTTCCCCACAATCACATCCACAAGCCCACGCCGTCTGCCCAGGAAAGGTCAGCAGGCACCGCCACGCATTTTACACGCATCTGCTGCTAGATTTCCTTCCTTCCTTCCTTCCTCTTCCCTTCTCCTTCCTTCCTTCCTTCCTTCCTTCCTTCCTTCCTTCCTTCCTTCC